TTTGGAGGATTCTTGGCCTCAATGAGAGTTGGGTTAAGATTCCAAGCTACTCCTTGCATAAACCCGATTTTTCCTATGAAAATGGGGGAAGTTGGGGGCTTTTGATGCTTTGTGTGCTTGATGGACTTGGAATTGATTCACCACGAAAGTGGGGCAATTCCTTGTTCTAATCCTAGCTAATTTGCTCACGTGAGTGACTTATAGACTAGGATTCCTACGTGCATCCCCTCTATTCCTTGGTTGTGTGATTTTCCCCAATCCTTAGGTTGTGCTATGCATTTAGATGATAATGCTCCCTAGCTTGAGTCCTATTTCTTTATTTTGTGTTTATCCTTGTGTATATGTGTTAGTCTTATCATTTCCTTAAACTTGTAGTTTGCTTAGCTTCTTGTTGATTTCCTTATGCTAGTGCCTAGTTTATTGCGATTGCATATTGCGTGCCATAACCCTCAATCCCCTGAGGACGACATAACACACCCGTACACTCACCATCACTCATTTTTGCTACACCAGTGGTTACCCTGGGTTGGTGCGTATTGCAGTCCTGACTGTAACGCCTCTTCTTAGTAGTCATCCAAATCTTCCTTTTCTTTGGTCAGGGTCCTTGTCAAGTCTTTTGACGGGAGTTAGGACGAGGCGATTTATCGGGTAAGTGTACGTTACCCAGTTGTGGAAGTAAACTTATCTATTCGCACCCTTACCTGGTGTGGTAAGCGTAGGGGGAGGTTCCTTTAAGTTAGAGAGGGATGAAGTGAGGGGAGGTTATGTGTAGGTTTCACAATCTCACTGCGCGTCCTAAGATTCTTGGATCCTATGTTCCTAAGTACCTAGAGTTCAAGCCTAGTGTCCTAAAGTCCGGTCTTAAGAGTCTTATCCTAGGGTCAAACTTAAGCTCTGATACCAACTGTAACACCCCAGATTTTCAAGACATTTAAAACTTATAATAAAGGTAGAATCTTATTAAATCCCAAGATATAAATACAAGCGTTCGGGGTGCTATGCCACACCTGGGCTAGAGAACCCAAGTGCACAGGCTAACTAACTAATATCCTCAAAGCATAAATACGTAAACGTGGCACGCAGGCCAAAAGGGAAACTATCTACTTCTAAGTTCTAGCGCACTCCAGTGACTTAATCTTCTGTGCCTGAAAGCCAAATATATCTGTTCAGCGAGAGATGCTGGTAACCCACTCCAACGCGTTGAAATACAATACATATAGAGATATATATAGATATACGAAAACCATTTTGAGCATGAAGATATATCCTACGAACTCTAGCTTTAAAACCGGGAATGACTCGACAGATAAGGCCAGACACAAGCAACAGTTATAACAAGCATATGCAGTTCCCAACAGATAAGGCAGATAAGGCAAAGCATAAACAATGATCATAACCCAACATGAACAATCCCCGATATAAATCCCATAGTCACATCCCAAGGCACTCATAGTCACAACTCGTCCATATCACACACATAACACACATTGTTGGCGCCACGGGACCGATCGCATGCCCATACATGAGGGTCAGCGCATATAGCTCTGACACAGCCCCGCAGCACCAGGCCCCGTATCGCAACACGGGGAGGTCGATCGCAACCGACCGATGAACCGCAGCTCATCATAATGTTTGATCGCAACCAAACAGTGGACCGCAGCCCAAGAGAGTGTCATCTGACCGCAGCCAGGATAAAGGACGAACCGCAGCTCGTATAGAAACGTTTGATCGCAACCAAACGGTGGACCGCAGCCCAAGAGAATGTCATCTGACCGCAGCCAGGAATACCAATCTGACCGCAGCCAGCTTCTGAACCGCAGCTCAGGATAACCAATCCGATCGCAACCGAATTGGGGTAGCACACACACATAACACATAGCAAGCACATGCAACCCACATTACACATTAGGAAGGGGGGGAAAACGTATAACAAAACCTATGCGTGATCCATCACATACTAAGAATAGTCCTAAGGGGTTCATACTTTCTTCACCTAGGTCAACGGGATACCAATTCATCTAGCATGCGATATAACAGACTCATAAACCTACGAACAGTACCCGAAACATCAAACTAGACATAGGCACGACAAACGGGGTCCGTTGGGACACCACGGGGATCGGGGAAACATCAAACGGGGAAGCCGGGAGCCCGAGGTAGTGTAATTTCCAGCGGGTAGCCGGTGGGTGGGGGTCCACCCGCCGGCTGCCACTGTTCCGGGCAGCGGGTGCCCGGCGGGCAGCTGCCCGCCCGCCGGCTGCCCGCTGCCGGAGCTGCCCGAGAATGCCACGGGTAGGTGGCGGGTCCCCTACCCCCACCTACCCCCCACTGACTCTTTTCATCACTTTTCGCCCCGGGAACCGTTGTGGAACCCGAAACCATGCTTAGACACTTTACAACGCAATTAACAACAACAAGTAGACAATTAACGGATCAAATATGAGAAACGAACGGTACATAACCTATCATGCTTTTCTAAATATAATCAACACCCAAACATGCGATTTCCCCACCCGATAATCCAAGAATAATATCATACGATACAACCTAGGGTTCTAATCACTTTTATACCAACAAGAATACGGTTCGTTTTTTAATTGCAAGATTCGGTACAAATAACACATAAGCATCAAGAACGCCATACAATTATCAAGAACGACAAATAATCATCAAGAACTCCACATAATCATCAAGAACACCATAATTATCAAGAATCTCCCAATATCAAGATTATCAAGATCCCCCATGGGATCATCACATCAATTATCAATAATAATCATCATAACTCGCCAATACACAATAATATGGGGAAACCCTAAGGGGGAATCATAACTATGAAAATAGGTTTTGTTGAGACATGGGTTACCTCTTAGCCTTAATTAATTCCTTGGCTATGAAGGGTCTTTCTTTAAGCTTTCTTGCTTTCTTGATTTCTTCTAAGGGGATTCTTGGAGCACTTTGGGGTGGTGGAACGTTTATTGTGGTGGGGGGTTCTAGGTGCCTCTTAAGTCCCTTATTTATATATTTAGGAGTCCTGGTTAGGAACTAATATTATAGGCTTGCTAATTCTATTCCTTTTGGAACTAAGGATTGGGTTTTAGGGATAAGGGTCCATGGTTCATAGTGGACCATATTAATTAATTAAAGGGAATCCTAATCGTAGTCTGAATAGTAAAAGGCCTACTTCCTTTATTCCTAATAGATAACTAGGTCTAGGATTCCTAATTAGAATCTGAATAGTAAAGGGTTTACTTTCTTTATTCCTAATAGGCTTAGGACTCTAATTTAGGCAAGGGTCCACGGTTCATGGTGGACCTTTATTAATTAATTAAAGGAAACCTAACCGAATTAAATCATATTTAATTATTATTAACGGGATTAATTTAATAATTAATCCGGGATTGAAGGTTGTAACACGGGGTGTTACAACCAGCCTGGTTAACAGCCGGTATGGTTCTCAGCCCATTCGACTGCCCGTATAGTGGAACTTAGTCCTATATAATATTTATATACCTGACCGGTCTCTACCAGCCTGGTTAACAGCCGGTATGGTTCTCAACCCACCCGACTGCCCGTATAGCCCGATTGATCTTAACCAACTCGGGGTTACATGCACACATTAACACATAGCAAGTACATGCAGCCCACATTAACACATTGGGAAGGGGGAGAAAACGTATAACAAAACCTATGCGTGATCCATCACATACTAAGAATAGTCCTAAGGGGTTCATACTTCTTCCACCTAGGTCAACGGGATACCAATTCAACTAGCATGCAATATAATAGACTCATAAACCTACGAACGGTACCCGAAATATCAAACTAGACATAGGCACGATAGACGGAATCCGTTGGGACACCACGGGGGTCGGGGAAACATCAAACGGGGAAGCCGAAATCCCCAATTGGGGTGCAAACCAGCGGGTAGCCGGTGGGTGAGGGATCACCCGCCGGCTGCCCGCCGGCGGTAACAAGACCGGGCAGCGGGTGCCCGGCGGGCAGCTGCCCGCTGCCGGCGTTGCCCAAGGAGGCCGCGGGAAGGTGGCGGGCCCCCTACCCCCACCTACCCCCCACTGACTCTTTTCATCAAGAAACGCCCCGGGAACCTTTGTGGAACCCGAAACCATGCTTGGACACTTTCAAACGCAGTTAATAACGCACGCAGACAATTAACGGATCAAAATCAGGAAACAATCGGCACATAACCTATCATGCTTTTCTAAACATAGTAAACACCCAATCATGCGAATTCCCACCCAATATACCAAGAATAATTCCATACGATACAACCTAGGGTTCTAATCACTTTTATGCCAACGAGAATACGATTCGTCTTCTAATTACAAGATCCGGTACAAATAACACATAAGTATCAAGAACGCCATACAATTATCAAGAGCAACATATAATTATCAAGAACAACATATAATTATCAAGAACAACATATAATTATCAAGAACTCCACGTAATTGTTAAGAACACCATAATTATCAAGAATCTCCCGATATCAAGATCACCCATGGAATTATCCCATAAGTCATCAATAATAACATCACAAATCATCAATACACAATAATATGGAGAAATCCTACGGGGGAAATCATAGCTACGAAAATAGGTTTTGTTGAGACATGGGTTACCTCTTAGCCTTAATTAATTCCTTGGCTATGAAGGGTCTTTCTTTAGGCTTTCTTGCTCTCTTGATTTCTTCTGGGGAAATTCTTGGAGCTCTTTGGGGAGGTGGGGCGTTATTCTTGTGGGGGGTTTCTAGGTGCCTCTTAAGTCCCCTATTTATATATTTAGGAGTCCTAGTTGGGAACTAATATTATGAGCTTGCTAATTCTATTTCTTTTGGGACTAAGGGTTGGGTTTATGGATAAGGGCCCGTGGACTATGGTGGGCCTTTCCTGCTTAATTATTGTGTTTTAATTCTTTCTTTTGGGTAATTGATTAAATGATTTAATTGATCTTAGGGGTCGTAACATGGGGTGTTACAGGCGTGGTGAGCGAGGTGATTCATGACCCGGGTCGAGGCGCGCCGCTCGCACGAGTCACCTTCCGCCACCCTTTCCGCTACCAGCACCAGAAGGAGCTCTTCATCGCCGCCGAGGGGATGTACACCGGCCAGTTTGTGTACTGCGGTAAGAAGGCCTCTCTCATTGTCGAAAATGTGCTCCCTCTCAGATCCATCCCCGAAGGTGCTGTCGTCTACAACATCGAGCACAAGGTCGGTGACCGCGGTGTATTCGCTAGGTGCTCCGGTGATTACGCAATTGTCATAAGTCACAACCCGGACAATGGAACCACTAGGTATAATCAATTTATTAAAATACATTATAATTTATTTCAAATTTTAAGTTTAATATGAGATATAAATATCTAATATTCTTCACTGGATTAAATTTATGCATATTTTAATTTCTAATTTATAATATAGCTATTGTTTCATAATGCTACTGTATTTATGCCTATATTTAAAATTTTAACTATTTCATTTAGATTCAGTTCAATTAATTTTTATTATTTTGAATTTGATCAATTGATATGAGAAATGAAGTTTTAACAGATAACACTTTCTGTTCGTATTGTTTAGACACTAGTTAAGTCTTTTTGGTACTTCAATTTTTGTTGTGCTTGTTCTATATCTATCATCTTCAACAATTTGTTTGTAGTTTGCATTTTTGTACTATTGATGAATTGATTTTTGGGTGTTTTGCAATTAGTTTAGCTGATTGGTAGGCTTAAACAACTAGCATTGTCCTATTAGGAAAGAATGCATACTGATGGAATAAATTAACTCTGGTGGCCTGAATTAGTTAAACCAATAGTTAAAGAATAAGTAAATAAAGACAAGATATTGAGTAAGAAAGACAATGCTTTGTATTAATGACTTGTGTAAGATGTGATTACAAGAGAGATTGTGTCTTAACAGACAATCATGAGGGAATTTATACCAATCTTGGCCCTGTAAGTGCCCCCAAGTCCAAGTACACACGTTCCACCCTGCCCCGTGGCTCAGCCTGGGTCCTCAGTGCTGGTCAGGTTTGCTTTGTTTCGCTCCATCGGGTCGGTTTGTTCCAAACCCATCTTCAATATATCCATCACATACAATTAAAATATTTTTATGGGTTTGATTCTTGTGTTAGTGTCTTACTTTTCCATTATTTTCTCGATAAATATTAGATGGAGCTCTCTACTTGTGCAAATATTATATAGGGGGCTATTAGAGGATGGGAGTTTTATGGATAGTGTACACATTCAAATAAAAGTTGTATATATCAGTAAATCAGTTATGTGCAATTTGATTATGGACAGGATTAAATTGCCGTCAGGATCGAAGAAGATTGTGCCGAGTGGGTGCCGTGCTATGATTGGTCAGGTTGCTGGAGGTGGGCGTACTGAGAAGCCACTCCTAAAAGCTGGTAATGCTTATCACAAGTTCAGGGTTAAGAGAAACTGCTGGCCCAAGGTTCATGGTGTTGCCATGAATCCTGTGGAGCATCCTCATGGTGGTGGTAACCATCAGCATATCGGTCATGCCAGCACTGTCCGCCGTGATGCACCCCCCGGCCAGAAGGTTGGTCTTATTGCTGCCAGGAGAACTGGTCGTCTCCGTGGTCAAGCCGCAGCCACTGCTGCTAAATCTGACAAGGGTGCTTAAATTCAATTTTATTGTATTAGTTATGTAAAAGTTGAGTTTCGATCTCTGCTGTTTTTATCTTCCTTTTTGTTTTCTGGCATATACCCCAACCTTACTGGAATTTAACAGTAAATTTTGGTTTAGTGAATTTTGTTTGAAGTTGAGCTTGAATAAGTTTATGATGGGGTGTGCTATTTGTATCACCCTCTAGTCAAAAGTAAGTGTAAATCACATTGGAATTGTAAAAATGGCAAAAGATTCAACAATCTAATAGGTGGTATAAATAGTCATAATGGTGTTCATATTGCTATTTACACCAGGTCAAATGTGATTTATGAAATTGTATTAATAATATTTTAATTAAAAATTTAATTAATTAAAACATTAAAAAAAATAGAAATTCCCTTGCCTTCTCGGGTGAAAAGGTGAGGGGTGTTCATATTGCTCTTTACACCTTGGTGAAATGCGATTTATGAAATTTTATTAATAATTTTTAATTAATTAAAACATTAAAAGAAATAGAAAATCCTCTTGCTTTCTCCGGTGAGAAGGCTGTTCTTTTTTTAAAATGTTTTTTTTTTAAAAGGAAACTGCAAGTAGATTGAAGGAGGAAGGTGATGAGTTGCTCTATTTGCGGATCGTTTAGCAAACATAAAGCTAATGTCAAAAAGATCACTAGCTAGGTACCTAATGTCCTGAAAGATAAGATCAAAAGAGGTAATACAAGAGAAGTCCTTAAGACCATTGATTACAAGTTGAGCATCATATTCAATAATGGTGGAGTGGATATTCAAAGACTTGAGCCATTTGAGAGCTTCTCTAATTGTGATTGCCTCCGCTGTTTTGGGGTGGTACGAACTATCACATCGTTGCTGAATGCAGCAACAAAGTTCCCCTCCTCGTCTTTTAAGATACAACCAAAGCCAGTCCTTTTGTTACCAAGATCATTTGCAGCATCTACATTAAGTTTAAACTTGCCATGCGGGGGTTTGATCCATCTTTGAGTACCAGTATTGGCTGCCGGTTTGTCATGATTGTAGTGGATGTTTTTCCAAGCATGAAGAAAGACCGCTGCTTCTTCCACAATTGAGGATGATTGAGATCTCTGGTTGTGCCACACTAACTTGTTCATTGCTTCCCATAATTTCCAGCACACTGTTACAACTAGGGACAAAGAGTCAGAGTTGAGATTTGGATGCAATCAGTAAGCCACTCAATAAAGCAAGGAGCAGTTCTGGGTGGGATTGTGGAAATAATATTCCAACAATAATCAGCAAAAGGACAGGCAGTGAAGAGATGATCCACAGTTTCAGGGTGAGAGTTACAAAACTTGCAGTCAACTTGGCACTCAACTCTCCTACTCCGGAGATTAACAACAGAAGGAAGGCAGTTGGAGCAGGTTTGCCAAACAAAAGTTTTTATCTTAGGAGGAATAGAAAGGTTCCAGATTGCTGTCCACTTCAGAGTTTCACCCCAGACTGGAAATATGTTAGGGATCTGTAGCAGCTCTTGACGGAGTATGAACCTTTTTCCTCAGCACCCCTCTTAAAGGAAATATGTATTATTACATTTATTAAGGGGCAAGAGGATGCTTAAGATGTTATCAATATCTTCATGTACAAAGATGTCCTTGATGATGTCTTCTTCCCAACACTCCTGATTCACATCCATGAGAGAAACCACTTTCGCATTTTCCAAATAATGGGGCATACTAGTTCTGACGAATGGATCATCTTTTCTTGGGATCCATGGGTCCTTCTAGATATTGACAGAGGGACCGTTTCCAATTCTCCATCTGCAATTTGCCTTCAAAATTTGTTGGGATTTCATGATACTTCTCCTTACAAAAGAGGGATTACTTCCAAGCTTAGCTTCGAGGAAAGAGGTGTCTTTAAAGTATTTAGCCTTCAGAACTTTAGAGGTGAGAGAGTCCGGAAATTGGATTAACCGCCACGCGTGTTTGCCTAGAAGGGCAATTTTGAATTCCCTGAATTTGCGAGAACCTATGCCACCGAGAGGTTTCGGTTTGCATAGCTCATTCCACCTCTTCCAGTTTATGCCTTTGTTACCTTCAGCTTCCCCTCTCCACCAGAATTTCTTCATGGCTATCTCAATATCTTTGCAAAGACCAACAGGAAGCAAGAAAACGCTCATGGCAAATGTAAGGATCGCATGAAGTACATTCTTAATCATGATTTCCCTTCCTGCCTTGGAAAGAAACTTGTTGTTCCAGCTCTTAATACGACCCAAAATTTTCTGTTTGATGAAACCCAGGATCTGATTTTTCCTCCTACCAATTAGTGAAGGGAGGCTGAGGTATTTTCCATTGTGTGAGCCTTCCGGGATCCCCATAACTTCGCATACCACTTCCCTTGTGAGATTATCCACATTATTGCTAAATATGAGAGAAGACTTATCATAATTGATAAGTTGTCCAGAAGCCATGGAAAAATCAGTGAGGATGTACTTCATGACATTGGCTTCATAAGAATTGGCCCTGCCAAAAAGGAGGCAATCGTCTGCGAAAAACAAGTGACTGATCACAGGGGAACCTTTAGCAACAGTAATACCATGAATAGAGCTACACCGGATTTCCTTGTCAAGGCACTAAGGCATTCCATTACCAGAATAAATAGGTAAGGTGATAGGGGATCACCTTGCCGTATGCCTCTAGCAAGGATAATAGGGCCCAGTTCCTGACCTTCAAGGACAACCTTAAATTGAACAGAGGTGATACAAGTTTCAATCATAGAGACAAAATCATGGCAGAAACCCAATCTGTACAGAACACCCTTCACCAGGTCCCAGTTCACTCTATCAAAGGCCTTGTTCAAGTCAATTTTCATACTAACAAAATCTGAGTTTCTTTCTTTGGGTCTTTCTATTCAGGTAGTGGTGAGATTCATAGGCAAGAAGGAGATTTTCGGTTATCAATTTGTTAGGAACAAAAAACACAATGGGGATGCGAAATCAAAGAGTGTAACAGGGGCTTAATTCTGTTGGCTAAGCATTTGAAAAGAATTTTGTACAAGACGTTGCAGAGGGAAATTGGTCTGAGGTCAGACATAGTTTCAGGTTTGGAGACTTTTGGGATAAGGACAATGTGGGTATTGTTACTGCCGCTGGGGAGAGTTTTTTATAATCTAAAGTCTTCGCAGAAACAAACAACTTCACTACCCACTATATCCCAATGGTGCTAAAAGAAACCAAGAGTGAAACCGTCTGGGCCGGGGGATTTCTCTGGTTTCATGTCAGAAAGGGCAAATTTAACCTCGGCACAGTCAAATTTTTTAACCAAAGCGGTGTTTTGCATATGAGAAATTTTGGATTGTAAGCAACTCAAAGTAGGATTAATATCCACATTAGGTGATTAAAAGAGATTCTTGAAATAGTTCACAATTAAAGAGTTCATGTCATTACCTCTTTCTACCCAATCTCTATTGCCATTTTTGAGCCTCTAAATCTGGTTGATTTGTCTCCTTCGGCGGACCGAATTGTGGAAAAAAGTAGTGTTTTGATCCCCTCCTTTTAGCTAGTATTCCTTTGAACGTTGACGCCAGTATGAGTTTTGGTGGTCGAGAGCTCTAAGGTGCTGCATCTGGGCATCCATGAACAACGCACAACCATGGCTATCCGTTCGCCCTTTAAAAATCACAATCCTCTTTTGCCAATACTCAATCCTCTGGTTAAAATTCTTTGAGGGCATTCTCTCCCATTTCCAAACATCCTTCCCACATTTATCAAGACTTTCGGACAGATTCAATCCCTAGGTGGATTACCAGATGTTTAGGACGATTTCACAGCAATTGGCATCCTTGAGCCAGAGATTCTCGAACTTGAATCTCGAACTGTGGTAGGTACTGTGCTGATTTTCAAGTTCCAGGAAAAGGGGCAAGTGATCACTTCTTGAGGTGATTAGAGAAGATGCATGGGCTCCTCTGAATTCATCTCTCCAAGAATCAGAAACAAGGATACAGTCGAGTTTAGCTTGAATCCAGTCTGGTTTCCCCCGAGCTCTTTCCCAGGTGAATTGATGGTCGGTGAAGGTGAACTCTGAAAGGCCACTTGCTTCCACTGCATCTCGAAAGCCCTCCATGAGCCAATTAGGTTGCGGGTTGCCCCCCCCCCCCCCCCCCCCCCCCAATTTTTCAGACGGGTGAATGATGTCGTTGAAGTCGCCCACTACTGCCCAGGGGATGTTAGATTGCGACGAGAGATGCTTGAGGAGGTTCCATCCAATGTGACGATGGTTTCTATCCGGCTCACCATAGAAGCCGATGAGTCTCCAAATTTTACCATTGTTAGGCTGAGAAACCAATGCATCGATGTTTCTAGGAGAGAAGCTTTGGATTTTAAGTGATGGGCCTAACTTCCAGAGACAGGCCATGCCTCCGCTGTGACCTCTGTTGTCCACTGATAAAAGACCCTCAAACCCCAACCTCCTTTTTATGGGTTCCAATTTATTATGGGCTACAAAAGTTTCAATTAACAAAACAATATCTGGCTTCTTAGAGTGGATAAGTTCCATTAGAACTTGAACCGACGTTGGATTGCTGAGCCTACGACAGTTCCAAACCAAGAGATTTATTGATCTAAGCGGGCCTGAGCAACAGGACCCGCCTCTAGCAAGTTTTTTGGCACCAAATTTGGGAGCACAATGAGCATGAAGTTTTCATCTTGAAGCCCACTGATATTGGGCTCAGAAGTCTCGCCATCCCTTTTTCTTCTTTTCTGGTTTATGAAAGATAGGCCCAGCCCATTTTCAAAAGTTTGACTTTGAGAGTGAGGGACAGCTGTGATTGGGACAGGTATTAATGTTGATGTCGTTTCAAGACTGGAGTCTGACACCTGTTTCTGAAGATCGGCCGCCTGAGCAGAACCTAGCGGGTAAAGGCTTTCCACACATTCCTTTTATCCGCTGGATTCCTCGTACCTGGGGATACCCGCTTGATGATGTTTCGAATGCATGTCGTCGGTGGAGTTACTAGCCGTCGTGGAGCTCCGGTTAGGCCGTTCAGAGAGAATCCATCTGTTTTCTTTTGGTTGAGGCCGCTTATTGCCAGCCCTAAGATCTAGACCGTAAGGCATTGCCATTTCCGTATCATTTGTTTCAAACTGTTTGGGACAATCTCTCCATGCCCTAATAAACCACAGATGAAGCAGAAGGTAGGGAGTCTCTCGTATTTGCATTCTAAGAAAGAGGCTCCCCAGAGGGTGATTTTAATTTGATTCTCTTGCATAGGGGTTTCGAAGTATCGATACGAACTCTTACCCTTATGAAAGCTGACCAGGATCCGTCATAGTTTGAGACATCTGTTTTGATAAACTCTCCTAGATGTGATCCTATGAATTCAACCATTCTCGGGGTGGTGAGCTTGCTGGCGAGCTTCGATCGGATTTTGTGTATTTGGATCCAAAACTCAAACTTTAAGAGATCGATATGGAAAGGGGACTCATCCTTTCCAAGACGGTGTAAGATAAGAAGATGTTGCTCAAATGACCAGGGGCCATCTTCAAGAACTCTACGAAGGTCTTTCTCATGGAAGAAGTGGAAGAGGAAAAGGTTCGTTGCAATCTCTTCAGCCATTAGACCTTTACCGAGACGCCAGATGGTAGCCATAGTATCTTTTAGAAAGTTAAACTTCACAACTTTTTCTGTCAGAATTGTTCCCACCAGGGTGAAGACCTCTTCGTTTGGGATATCCCATGTTTCTCCATCATCAGTGGGAAGTTCGACTTCCACCTCGTCATGAATACTTAGGGCTTCGTACTGCATTTCCAGAGGTTCCTTGCCAAGATATTTTGAAGCCATTTGGAGAAGTAAGTGAGCTGACTAACTAGAAAGGAATGATTGGTAAGAAAAAACCAGGGGAGGAGAGATGGTAGTGCTGGGAAGGGGAGGAGAGATGGTAGTGCTGGGAATATTGCATGCAAGGAAGCAAAGGAAGAAAGGGAAGGATGACAACAAGTAATCGGCAGTTAGAAAAAAAAAAGGGGGGGGTGGGGGGGGGAGGGGGGGACAATTACATCCTCATAAATGCCATAAATGTGGTTGGTGGTAGAGAGCAAATGATGATCATAAAGATGGAATAACAGATCATAAACACGAAGGAGAAGGGAAGATTTGTAAGAATACAAGGAGGAGAAAGACTTTTTATCATGAACAAGAGAGAGAAATTTACATTATGAGCCCTTAAAATGTTTTGATACCTATTTTTTTTTTTTTTGTGCAATTAAGTTTCTAATTTCAATATTTTTTTTTTGTGCAATTAAGTTTCTAATTTCAACACATATTTTTTTTGTGCAATTAAATTTCTTAGTCAATATTGATATTTGTGAGATGAAACTATTGGTAATTTTGGGTGGCAAAGAATACTAAAAGCAGTCATGACTCTATATATATGTGTGTGTGTTATGTATATGTATCACACAATCTATAAGCCATGGATGGTTGGATAGACGATTTTTTAGTTATAAGATCAAAATCAAAGCCATTTATATAGCTACAATGATCAAAATCAAACTCAGTTTCTTAGTTACAATGATTAAAATCAAAGTCAACGACATTATGAGGTATTTTAAGTTATTATATAATTGTTAATGAAATGTTATTTATTTATATATATAATGTCAAATATCATTACTAAGAGTTGTTATTTATTTGTCTGTTTATGACAAAAATGCATCAAACTTTATGATGACAATGGAAA